GTTTGATGGAGGGGAGGGGAGTGCGGTGGGGGAGGGCTGCGGTGAGGTATGAGAGAACGAGATTTGCGCTGTCTCAGTTCAGTATTGTGGTGTGATGCCAGGTGACAGAGTTCATTACCATACTGTAAATTGGAACATAGTTCTGGAGATGGGATCTCTAATGAGAAAACGCTGGGATGACTTTAGACAATATATCAAGGAAAGTTGTTTGGGCACTCACAGGCCACTGGGAAGAGTAAACACCGGGAAGTCAGCACGCAGAGCTGATGGCCTTGAGATACTCAGGGACACGTTGGTAGATTTGAGACAGGTTTAATAAATAAGCACCCGTCGCCAGGCCAAATGACACTTCGCTGCAACAAGTGTTTATCGACTTGCGGAGAGAGATAGTCAAAGGTGGGGCGAAGGACGGTGCATTTACCGTGAGATTTCAGGAAACGGGGACACAAACTGAGGAGTTCTTTTGCTGGGATCGGATCGGTATTCCCAACAAAATGTCCGAGGATCATCACTCTGAGCTCAGTCTAGGCTGGCACTCCAAAATTGGGGGGAGCACTGAATTCTCAGAGGCACCGACCTTCGGGTAAGATGTTGAAACCGAGGTCCCATCTGTTCCTGTTCAGGTGGATGGTAAAGATCCCGCACAGACCTGGGTTTAACATCTCACATCCCTCCTCCCTCTGTTCTCTCTCCCGGTGTCCTGGCCAACGAATACCCCAACCAAAATTGGTCACTCGCTCCATGGATATTTGTGGGACCTTGCCATGTGCAAAATTGCCCGCTGCATTCACCTCCAGAATAAACAGTCACTACACCTTGCCGGCCATTACTGAAAAGTGACTCCGAGGTGACGTACCGGGCCGCGGGATGTCGGAATCGAGTCGATCCTCTGCAGCGGCTTCGCTGGTCCCGATCCTGAGCCAGGAGGATCCTCTGTATCGCCAATGCTGCACTCCTTCCCTTGCCTGCCATTCCTCCCCAAACCTCCGCCCTCCTCCCTCTGCCCTCCCGGCAATTGACTGCTTAGTGTCAAGAGCAGCCAATCCCAATAGTTGCATCTCCTCACACACACACAGTCCCGCACCGCCACCCTCCCCGCTAGATTTCCTAAAGTCCCGTCTCCGTGGTTACCCGGAAGCGTGGGCTGCCAGCGCCAGGAGAGTCTGTTAAGACAGCTTTGATACTGCGCTAATGACTACTCACTTCAGCATTGTACTACCCACCAATTATGTCATTAAGTACAATTCACAGACTGTTATGAAATTTAGAGAATGTTTTGAGATTTATTTTCCCGGCGGTTTAACTCCTCACGCAACCTTTTTGAAACTTCTTGTGGCGCTGACGGTGGGGTACAAGCAAAAACCTAGATTTTTGCCTCCTGTTTTAGTAACAATAATGATAATAATATTTGCATTTGATACCTTATCACATCGTTGAGACGTCTCAAAGCGCTGCACAGGATATACTGTAAAGCGAATTGACTGTGTATTTTGTGGGTGAATCATGGCAGCCAATTCGGCACAGTGACGTCCCCACAAACAGTCGTGGATTGAGTGACCAATTTTTTTTGGGGGGGGAGTGGTGTGGGGTGATTATTACCGCCCATCGACTAACATCTGGGTTCCTACTTAATGTTAGGTAAACGGGGACGTGTGGAGTAAGGTAACTTGCCTAAGGTTTCGCCCGTCCCGGGAATCGAACCTCTCGCTTGTGAGGTGAGCGCTAACGTGGAGTCCTGTAGCTCAGTGGTTAGAGCACTCGCTTTGCAAGCGAGTGACCTGAGTTCAATTCCAGGCAGAGGGCAAAACCTTGGGCAAGTTTCCTTACTCCACACAGAGCCTAATAATAATCCCTCCAAAAACAATAATAAAAATTGGTCATTTTCAATCTACGACTGTTTGTGGGACATTGCTGTGCGCAATTGGCTGCCGCGTTCGCCCACAAATATACAGTCAATTCACTTTACAGTATATTCTGTGAAGTGCTTTGGGACGTCCTCCCGACGTGAAAAGCGCTATATCAAATGCAAGGATTATTATTATTGTTATTAACCACTATGCTACGGGAGTCCATGGAGTTCTTTGTACGACGGGATTGATTTAGAGCTCCAGCCGGGCTGAGCGTCAGTGTGTTTACAATATCGGATTTGAGCGCCTGGGGACGAGGTGGGAAGAACAACGAGTTTATCAGCTTTATTGCTGAATTGTCGGCTTGTGTGAACTGAGGACTATTGATGTTCGAATGATCTGAATCTCAAGAGAGGGTGTTTCTGCTCAGTGAGAAAGATTTCCCACATGAGTCTTCTCTCTCTCTCTTCCTCTCCCTTTCCCTCTCTATCTCCCTTTTCTCTGCTTTTCTCTATCACCCCTTTCCCTCTCTCTATGCTCCGTTTTCCTTTCTCTCTCCTCCCTCTTTCCCATTCTCTGTCTATCTTCCATCTTTCCCACTCTTTAGGGCCCTACCTTTCTCTCTCTCTCCCCACCGCCCTCTCCCCTCTATCTCTCCTCTCTCTTTCCCTCTCTGTCTCTCTCCCCTCAACCTCCCCTCTCTCTTTTCTCTCTCTCTCCTCAATCTCTCTTTCCCTCTCTCCAATTAACCTCTTTTGCTCTCCTCTGCTGTCTCTCCATTGGGGCTGAGCTTGACGTAACGTTCCAGAAACTCTCCCCCCAACTCCCCTCCCCCCTGTGCCGTACCCTTCACCCGGCATTGCAGGTGGATGGCAAAGTGTGCGTAATGATGGCGGAGCCACGTGCTGGAAGACGGCGCTGCTAGGCGGGAGCATTGAACAGGTTGTCTGTCTGCCGCTGACAGATAACTTCACTTTCACTCGCTTAATATGTGTCAGGCGAAGCTCCCAATCAGCTACAGATCCATTCACTCAGCAATGAGCTGCCACTTTATTTTGCACAGTAAAGGGTAGCGAGCGAGAGAGAGAGAGAGAGAGAGAGAGCGCCCGGGAATGCAAGTCACTTTACTAGCCTTCAGTCTTTTTATAGTGAAGCCTTAAGCACTCGAGATAATGACTGTGAGTTATTATTAACCAAATCGCATTAAGTGCCTCTCCGCTCAGTCCACCTCCATGAGTATTGACGTTAGCAATTCCCTGCAATACGCCAGTTAAATCCATTGATTTTCGGTTAAAATACGGCACTTTGACTGTATCTGTCAGTGGGTGGTGATGGGGGGGATGTCTACAAAAAAACATTATTCCACCCGTGATGCTGTTTGCTGTGTTAATCTCCGTGATTCCCATGCAGTAATCCTCGTCTCACTGACGATAAGGTGGGCGTCAGCCTGGCTCAGTCGGCAGCACTCCAGCCTCTCAGTCAGAAGGTCGTGGCTCCTGGTGTCCATGTTGTGAGTTCGAGCTCATGTAAGCCTAGGCTGCTGTTCCAGTGCAGCACCGGGGGTTCATGTGGTGAGCCTTGGCAATGAGTTTCAGTAAAGCTCGACTGTAGAGGGTGTCATGGCCGAGCCTGACCTCTTCCCACCCGGCTGCTACACAAACACACACATATACATACAGACACACACACATACTCACAGACACACACACACACACACACAGACATACATACAAACACACACAGACATACGCACACACACACGCACACATACAGACATATACAATCACAGACACACACATACATACACACAGACATATACCCACACATACACATACATGCACACAACACCAGGAGAGAGTACTGTAAAGGACGCAGGAACAGGAGCAGTTAGCCAGCTGGTTTCCCCCCCTTCCTAACCCTGGAAAGGCCAGGGGCCAATTTAGCCCCGTTACTCACCCCGGACTGAGACCAGGAACCCCAGCACAGAGTGGGATTGGAACTAACATGTCTGACCTGTAAACAACAGCCCCATCACGGCAGCCCCAGACCCTTCCTTTCTGATAGAAAACCACTCTAAATACTAAGAGAAGATGGTCTCATAGGCTGAGACCAACCGTAATTCCGGGCCTCAAACCACTGTCCCAGCAGAGTGTGGCACAGCTAATCCATAACAGGCGGAATGCATCCCTTCTGACCTGTTGAGTGTTCCCAGCGGCTTCTGTTTTTATATTGTTATTTATTGCGTTTTAAGAAAAAAAACCCTCAGGCGCAATGGATGATGAGGACATCAGTTTGATGGCCAGTGCGTTTGCTAATCTGCTGTTGTCAATTGCAGGAGCTTCTTCTCATCTTATTCATTCCCCTCTCAGACACTTATGATGAATGGCTCCCCCAATCGAACCCTTCTGCTCTACTCTGGAGACGTCTCTTTGCAAATGAGAATTTCGTCAACAGTGGCTGAGTGCTCCCTTTCTGCCCAGACTGCGCCTGCGGCCATCTTCACCTATTTTACTGAATCCTTCTTTGCACAAACTATAATAATAATTATAATTATAAATGTCCTGGCCAACAAATATCCCCCAATAAAATTGGTCGCTCATTCCGTGGTTGCTTGAGGGACACTTCTGTGCGCAAAACTGGCTGCCGTATTACGCCCACAAAATACACAGTCACTACACTTTACAGCATATCCTGTGAAGCACTTTGAGACGTTTCAACAACGTGATAAGGTGCCATATCAAATGCAAGGATTATTATTAACAATACATCATAATAAATAGTAATAATTGAATGCGGACGTATGTGGCAGTATAAAGCAAACATTGTTCCTATCATCATCAGTGTAACTGGGAATGTTAATAAGACTATTCAGAAATGGTTTGACAAAATACCTGGTGAATAAAATATCAACCTCCTGCAAAAGTAGCTATTTTAGGAAGCTCAAATATATTAAGAAAAGTAACATCCATTATGTAACGAGGCAGTGCTATTGGTCTGGCTGATCATCACTGAAAACCATTTGAGATTTATCCCCACTCCCCATATTATCCAAACTTAACAGCTCCCCCAACCCCATTACGTCAGCCCTCTCCTCTTCCCCTTGCCCCAATTTCCGCTGTGACAAATCTCGTCTCTTGTTGTTCTGTGTGACAGACCGATGACCTGAGCAAGTACGACAAGACGTTCCCTGACGGGACAGGCGGGCGACTGAGACTACCTTTGAACCTGACCCAGATAAGTTCACAGTGGAAACCAGAGGTGAGGAGAGAAGCTCCGTTTAATGAAGAAAAAAACGTTTTGATCAGCCACGAGTCTGACACACGGGGAAGCCCATCACCGTGCTTAAGAGTATCTAAACCAGACTGAGAATTACATGTACCCATACCACCTACACAGGGGTTCGGGATGGAATACGCATTCCCTCTGCGCTTTGGAATGTCCACAACAACAGCTTGCACTTATATAGCTCCCCTCACACAGGACAGGGTCCCATTAAGCAGCTTTAGCACCCAATTAGCCCAAAGCCTTGATGGCATAGAGGCAGCCACAAGTCTCCAGTTTTTCCCTAGTGATGGATTATCCCCAGGTGCTGCTCTGGGAGCTGGGTTTCAGCTCCTGAGTCAGGCTCCGAGCAGATTCACGTCCAGGTTAACAAGGGCAGAGCTGACCCCAAAGTAAATCTACCCATTAATCAGAAGATGTTGATCTCCGGTGGTGGGGAGGGGAGCAGTGGAACAGCTGTAACCATGGCAATCAGGATGCAGCTTAATATATCAGCCTTCCTGGTTAGAGGTGTTCTGTTTGTTCAGCATCTTACACCTCTGGTTATTCCCAGCAATTGACGCTTTGCCTGTGGCTCAGTCAGTTGTGCTCTCACCTCTGGGTGGGTTCAAGCACCACCACCCACCAACCACCCGCCCCTACATCAGGGTCTTAGAGCGCGCGGTCTGGGCTGACGCTCCAGCGCAAGGCTGGGGTTGAGAGGAGCACCGCATTCTCAGGTACTTGGGTAGTCGAGGTATTCAGGGATATGGCAAGAGTCTGGGGCATTGGGATCATGTCAGTTCCATGTGGTAATTCCAGCAGGATTGCTGGGCAAAGGGGGCGAACCTCACCACAGAGCAGATGGTCCTCAGGGGTGTGGGGCTGGGAACTCTTGACTATTCATCGCTGCAATACAGTTGACAAGCGCATGCGCGCGCGCGTGTGTGTGTTTGTGTGTGTATGTGTAAGACCACCGAGACTGGGACGTTCCAATAAGTTGTTGTTTTGGGGGGTGTTCTGCCCGCAGTACAGAGGCCAGGTCAACCTCCACGTCTTCGAGGATTGGTGTGGCGCCTCCATTAATCAGCTTCGGAAGAACATCCACTTCCCCCTGTATCCTCACGTGAGTAAACGCAGAGCCAGGCTTGTGTGCACAAACATGTACACAAAGAAATCCATACACGTACACGGGCAAACCACACACATCTGCACACCCCACATATACACACACATACCACACACACGTGCGCACACACACCACACACGTGCCGCACACGCTCTGCACATGCGCACACACACCACGCACGTGCGCGCAGACCACACACGTGGACACACACCACACACATTCATACACACACACACCACATGCACACACACCACATGCACACACACCACACACACATGCGCACACCACACACACATGCGCACACCACACACACACGCAAACTCACGCACGCGCACATACTCACAAAGAGAAAATGTAAATTCTGCCAATATATCTGGTCTGTAGAAGGCAAGGTGTTTCCCTTCCATTACGATCTTCACTTAATAGCTTCTCCTAAATGGGGACTGAAACGATTCCTCTTAGGAGAGCTGGCACAGACAAGATGGGCCGAATGGCCTTCTTCTTCCGTGGTGTAAATTTCTACGGATCTGCTCAGGTCTTAGCTCATGACCGTTGAGATGGAAGAGAAGACACTGGTGTAATTCTTCTAGGTCTATAGAATATATACAGTCAATTCACTTTACAGTATCATGTGAAGCACTTTGAGAGACGTCTCGAAGACGTGATAAGGCACTATATCAAATGCAAGGATTATTATTATTATTAATATTATTTGTTGTGTTCCGAGATGCCGTCCGAAGTAATGGAGGCTTTGTAACTGCAAGTTGTTGTTGTTGATGTTTCAGACTCGGACCTCTGTGAATAAAATCGCTGTGGCTCCGAAATGGAAAAACTACGGGCTTCGGATATTTGGCTACATTCATCCTTACAAAGATGGTAAGGACAGGGACGCGGGAAGTTACCGAACGACTTGGTGTAAACGATCGCCGGGTTTAGCGGGAAAAATTGCTTTTACTGTTGTTGTTTGTTTCCCAGGCGATTTCCAGTTTGCGATAGCATCTGACGATAACTCTGAGCTATGGCTGAGTCCGGATGAGGTGCCTGCGAATGCCAGACTATTGGTCCGAGTGGGCAAGGTACGGATCTCAATCTCGGTCTCATTCGCTGGGCTGTTTGGGGGCTTGCGAGGAACCGGCTTCGCATCGTAGATATTTATAGCCCAAAAGGAGGCCATTCAGCCCATTGAGTCTCTCCCCCACACTGAACTCTGTGACTAAATCCTTCCTGTGATTCTCTTTCAGCTCGGCACGGAATGGGCAGCTCCCGGCGAGTTTACCAAGTTCCGGTCCCAGGTCTCCAACCCGATCCAGTAAGCACCAGCTTCATCCTAACTCCACCGTATACACACCTCTGTCTACCTAACAGTAAGGAGGAACCCGGTTGTTAGTCGATTGTCAGATAGCTTTCCGGACGTATTGAAAAAAAATGCGGTCACTCAATCCATGACTGATTATGGTCAACTTCTCCCTTTCCCCCTTCCCCAGGCTCAGCATTGAGCTCCGCAACTGTTACGTGTTACCCCCCCATCACCACCCCCACTGGAAGGGGGCTATATAAATGCAAGTGGTGGTCGTTGTTTATACTTGTACACTTTGCTAAGTTAGAGACTATTTTTGAGTTAAAAACACGCAGCAGGTCAGGCAGCATCTACGGAGAGAGGAAAATGAGTTAACGTTTCCGACCTTTCGTCAGAACTGGGGGATGTTGGATGGGAGTGGATTATAAGGACAAACGGAGAAGTGGGGGGGGCGGGAAAAGAAAGACAGGGAAATATTTAGGTGAAGGACAGAAGATGATGAGCTCAGAGGTGTTGATGTTGCAAGACTATTTTTGAAAGATGATTTTCACTGGCATCATCGGAAAACTCAGCTGTGCAAAAACTCTTTGGACAATTAACAGCTACATACGTCAGAATATCTCCTCGGTGACAGGAGTCCAAACACCTCCTCCAGGCTGTGCAGAGCTTTCATTGCTTCATCGAGAAAACTGCAGCTGCTAATCCACATCCTGCTCCTGTGTTGATTTATATCGGAAACATCTGGGCCTGACAACCCCTCTTGTGTGTCAGCCTGGCTCAGTGGTAGTGCTCTCGACTCTGAATCATAAGGTTGTGGGTTCAAGCCCCACGTCGGGACTTGGAACGACATAGTCTAAGCTGACACCCCAAGTGCAGGGCTGGGGGGGCGTGTTGCATTGTCAGAGGTGCCGTCATTCGGATGAGACGTTTCTCATCTCTGGGAGTTGCTCTCTTCTGGTGCCCTGCCCAACAAATCCCCCAGATAAAAACTTGGTCACTCACTCACAAGGCTGTTTGCAGCACATTGCTGTACTCAAATTGGCCGCTGCTTTTCCCCGTAAACCACACAGTCACTACACTTTACAGTGTAGTGTAAAGTTTACACTTTACAGTGTAGTGTATATCCTGTGAAGCGCTTTGAGATATCTGGGTGACGTGAAAAGGCGCTGTTTAAGACACAAAGATCATTACCTATTTGATATTATTGGGCAATATTAATCGTTATTTGATAATACGTCCAACCATCTTCTGACTCGGAGGCGAAGAGCACTGGAGAGTGAGCCAGAGCCTGGCATAAAATAATCAGTGAACATACTAAGCTGTTCAGACTTGATTAATTGACATTGGAGAGAGTGAGGCAGATTACTTTGGCACGCTGAAGCTTTAAGATTACTCTTTGGTCGGATTGATTAATTCTTCTGCCGTATTCCTCGTGGTCTCAACAAGAAAAATAATAATAATAATGATTTTTAAAACACACAGGCAGATTGCAAGGTCAAGCCCCTCGAGTCTTTTCAGAAGAGGCCCTTGTGCCAGCGGAAAAGTCCCTATTTTGTCCTGTCCCCCCATTCCCTCCCCTCCATCACTCCCTCCCCTCCATCACTCCCCATCACCCCCCATCCCTACCCCCTCCCCATCCCTTCCCCCTCCCTATCTTCCCTCCCCTTCTCCATCTCTCATTCCCCTTCCCCCCCTCCCTTCTCCATCCTCTTCCCCCCTCCATCCCCGCTAGCAATGTCCCACTAACAGCCATGGAGTCCTGTAGCTCAGTGGTTAGAGTACTCGCTTTGCAAGCGAGAGACCTGAGTTCAATCCCAGGCAGAGGGCAAAACCTTGGGCAAGTTTCCTTACTCCACACAGAGCCTAATAATAATCCCTCCAAAACCAAAAACAATAATAAATTGGTCATTTTCAATCCATGACTGTTTGTGGGACATTGCTGTGCTGCCGCGTTCGCCCACAAATATACAGTCAATTCACTTGACAGTGTGTTCTGTGAAGCGCTTTGGGACGTCCTCCCGACGTGAAAAGCTCTATATGAAATGCAAGGATTATTATTATTATTATGAAGTGTGTGACCAATTTTATTTGGGGGATTGTTGACCAGGCTTCCAAGAGAGAGAGAAACACTCTGGGCTCTTATCGAATAGCGTCATGGGATATTTAATGTCCACCTGAACAGGCAGCTGGAGGTGATTGCAGCCTGTTACCCATTAACGAGTTTGTGTTCAGTGTTTTTTTTCTCTCTATTAATGTCAGACATCACTCAGACAGGCAGAGGCAGTCTTCTAGCTCTTTTGCTTTTCAGTCTGAAAGCCCGCCCGGGAGCAGTGCTATTGTGAGCTGAACACAGCCATCACTACTATTGTTGTGTTGATCTTATCTTGCCAGTTTCGTGTCTGCGTGGATGACAGAGCCCTGAAGTTATCTGTGTGAAGAACGCTGTCAACTCCGTGTTACTTGCTGCCTTTTCACACATCTTTATCAAACCTTGAGCTCACAGGCTCCCCTGACACTCTGGTGCAGCGGGTGGGGGGGGGCGGGGGAGATTGACAGAGGTGCCATCCTTCAGATGAGACGTTAACCGAGGCTCCATCTGTGCCTGTTCGGGTGGACGTTAAAGATCCCAAGGCAAAAGAGGAGGGAGTTTCTCTCTCTCTCTCTCCCGGTGTCCTGGCCGCCAATCCATCAGATGGAATTGGTTGCTCGCTTCACCGCTGCTTGCGGAGACGCTGCTGTGCAGGAATGGATCTTATCATTTACCTACAAAATGCACAGTCACTGCATGTTCTGGTGAAATCCTGTGAAGCGCTTTGAGAACACGAAAGGCGCTGTATCGAATGCGAGGATTTGTGTTATTATTAATAATAATAATGATAAATTGAAAAGAATGGTTCATATTGTGTTAATGGTTCAGGAGGTTTCGAACATACTTGAGAATTGGGCAGTCAGGTGGCAGATGAAATTCGATGTGGAGAAATGTAAAGTACTTCACCTGGGGACAAAAAATCCTGGAAGGGACTATTATTTGAACAGAAGGAAAATAATATGTTTGGAAAATGAAAAGGACCTGGGAGTCCTGATTGACAAAAGATTGAAGCTCTCCCAACAATGCTTTGTGGCAATGAATAAAGCAAACCAGATGTTGGGATGTATCAAAAGATCAATAGCAAACCAAAATAGTGGGGTAATCCTACCACTGTATAATCATTGGTGAGACCATACTTAGAGATTGCGTACAGCTCTGGTCACCGCAGTACAAAAAGGATATTGGAGAAATCGAGAAGATGGAGAAGGGCAACCAAAATGATTGAGAAAATGGAGGGACTGAACTATTGAGGAGCGACTCAGTAAATTGGGGCATGTTCACCCTGGAAAAGAGAAGATTGAGAGGTGACGTGATTGCTGTCTTTAAGATTCTGAAGGGGAAAGACGATGTAGATTATGACGAGCTGTTTCAACTTCTCCAGAATAGTAGAAACAGAGCCCACAGGCTGCAATCGAAGGGGGGATAATTCAGAACAAATCTACGCAAACACTATTTCAGTGAGCGAATAGTGAACCAGTGGAACGGGAAGATGGTCGAAGCAGGAAGTGTTGATTCCTTCAAACGCAGATTAGACAGTTTTCTTTTAGGAAATAACATTATGGGATATAGTACATAGGGAGTTTGGGACATATGTGCAGATGACTGCCAGGAGGGTAGAAGGCAAACCAGATGGACTTTGGTCTTTTTTTCATCTAGCATTTCTTCTCTTCTTAATGTAACCTCATGTTCAGCAGCAAAATCCTGAAAGGGACTATTATTTGAACGGAAGGAAAATAATATGTTTGGAAAATGAAAAGGTGTGTAAAGGCCAGCGGGCGGTGAATCAAACACACTTGTTTGTTGCTGTCTCTCTTTGTTAAACCTGTAATGATTACAATTGCAACAACAACAAAATGACATTTATACAGCGCCTTTCACGTCATAGGAAGCCTCAATGCTCTGGACAGCTTAAACTGTCGCATTTTATTGTTTTGTAAAATTGTACAAAATACCAATTTTATAAAATTGTAGCAACACATCATCATTGGGGTAAAACTACTACCAATAAAATAGTAATCCTTGCATTTGACATTGCGCATTATCACGTCTTCGGGACGTCTCAAAGCGTTTTACAGGATATGCTGTAAAGTGTAGTGACTGTATATTCTGTGGGTGAAATGTGTACAGTTGGATCCTTCTTCCCATCTGCCACTATAGCACGCCACCCCAAATTTTTGGGTCCAGAAAAAAGACCCCTTGTCCCCTCCCCTCAGAAGGATGGGATGATAAGATGGGTTTGGATGACAAAGTCTCCTCGGCCCACCTGATCTCATCCCTCCAGATCACCCGCCCTGTCACCCTGCCATCACCCTATCGAGTTGTTTTATAAATGAGCCCCAGCCAGCGATCTGGTCTCAGCCACCCTTCTAGGTCACCCTGTTCCAGTCCTGAGTAAAGAAATACTTCCTGGTGCCTGCCCGCAGATCGCCTAAACCTGTGTCCTCTCCTTCTGCTCTCTTGTAGTGTCTTAAAGTATCAAAAGGAGTTTCTTCCCCCAGGCCCCTATCCTCTCTTCTCGAGCCACAGCGATGCCCCCATGCTCCGACGGAGCGCCACACAGCATTGCGATGAGCGCTCTGAGACGCTATCCTGCGTGAGGGGTGCTATGTAAATGCAAGTTGTTTCACCACTAGAGATGTCCTCACAGCACCTTTGTTCTGTCCACAGTATGATCGCCACAAAGAGGTACTACTTCGAGGCCCTTCACAAGCAGGACGACAAGGGATCGGATCACGTGGAAGTCGGGGTAAGTTGCCCTCGTTTCACGAGACTTCAGTCTCTAGTCAGGAATAATAATAATAATAATAATCCTTGCATTTGATACAGCGCCTTTCATGTCAGAAGGACATCTTCACAGGATTTACTGCGAGACCCGGTCGAAGAAGAGGGTCTTGAGACGTGCCTTGAAGGAGGCAAGGGAGGGAGTGAAGCGAAGGGAGAGTGGGAGAGAGTGAGGTGAATTAACTATTTTATTTGGGGGAATTAATTGTCAGCCAGGACCCCGGGAGAAAGAAACTCCTCTTTTAGAATAGCGACGTGGGATCTTTAACATCCACCTGAACAGGCAGACAAGACTTCCGTTTAATGTCTGATCCGAAGTATGGCGTCTCTGACAACCCAGCGCCTCTCCCTCCAAACACACGCACACACACACACAGAGCGTTGCGATGGAGTATTGGCCTGGGCTGCGCGCCCAAAATACGAATTAATATTGCCAGTGAAGACGCTGATTTAGGACATCCTCTCGGCCAGACACGCTGGAAGTTCAGAATATAATGAATCAACCTCCTGTATAAATGACTCTGTGAGTGTACAGAGTCTCGTTCCCGGAGCATTTAATTACATCAAAAAGTTCCTTTCACTGCAGTTTCCATTTCACATCAAGGCATTCTGGCACAAATATTAAATGGGGGGGGGGGGTGATGAAGGGGGTTGTTTGCATCTTGTGTTTTACTAATTATATTCAGATTATAAATACAATGAGTGCGATTAATCCTCCTATTCGCATTGAAACCTTCTCTCACAGCCATTTCTCCCCGCTCCACTGCACATCCCTTCCTCCCTCCCACCATGTGCCTATGTGTGCGCGTGTGTGTGTATACAGGGGGGTGTTTTGCCATTTGTGTGTGTGTATATTTTTCTTTCTGTGTGCGCGGTTCTGTGTGTGTGTGTTTCTCTGCCTCTCTCCTGCCGTCACCTTGGAAATGAAGAGCGAGTGATTTGCGTGTGTGGGGTGGGGGGCAGTGGGGGGTGTTCTGAGAGCTGATTATCAGTACCAGGGTGGCTGTGGAATAACTTCCTCCTGTCTGTCACAGCTGAGGCTTCAGGTGCCACATTGCTGACGGGTTTCACTTCAATTTGCTGAGTTGCATCTTTTCACAAAATCCGAGATTTTCGCAATTTGGGAGGAAAATGCGTGAGGGCAGTGGGTAGGGGCGGGGGAATTCTACTCAGCACAGCCTAGTTTGTAATCCCCACGGCAAACGCAGATGTCAATCTCCCCACTCATCGATCAGCAATGCCAGGTGTTCATTATAAAGCCAAATCCTCGTGGCAGATTGTAACATAATCCTAATATTATTTCATATAGCGCCTTATCACGGAACTGAGACGTCTCAAAGCGCTTCACAGAATATACCATAAGGTGGAGGGACTGTGTATTTTGCGGGCAAAACAGTCGTGGATGGAGTGACCACATTTTTTTTTTTTGAAGGGATTATTACCCCCGGAAAAGCGATCTGACAATCGACTAACAACCGGGTTCCTACTTACTGCTGGTAAACAGATCCGTGTGGAGTAAGGAAATATTCCTAAATTTGCACCCTGCTCGGGATTTGAACCCAGGTCCCCTCGCTTGCAAGGCACATATTCCAACCACTATGCTGCAGGACCCCCAATGCCACAACTGTCCCCTCTCCCCCACACAGATCCCCCACCGCCGCATACCTCACACTCCCACCAACGCCAGCACGATTAGCTCCCACTGCTACGCAGACCGACTGGGAAGTTGTCTGCAAACAGTTCTCATCAGAACATGAGCCAAGAGAGAAAAAAATAAATGTGGGTTTGTGCAGTAATCCCCACGGCTCCAGAGATCACCCACAAACGCACACACAGTCACTGACTGACTGCACTTTACAGTATATCCTGTGAAGCGTGTTGGGATGTCTTCCTGACGTGAAAGGCGCCGGGTCAAATGAAAGGAATTATTATTAGTAAATTCCTAAACAGGATGCAGCTCGTTTCAGATTGCCGCGGATTAAGACCCCCCCCCCAATCCTGCTCCCACACACTGAGAAAGTTGTGGTGATGATGGGGTGGGGGGGCGGTGGGGAAAGGGGGGCGGGGTGGGAGGGGGTGAAGGATGTGATAAGGTGAATGTTAATGAATCGGGGTACAGAAAACATAGCCTGGATTCCCTCCTCCCATCCTCCCAGCAACAACAGCAGCAGCGAGGCAGGTAATGAGGCTCTCGCCAGAGTGTTCGGAGTTCACAAAGGAAAGCTTTGTACGTCCACTTTGGTGGTGGTGGAGGGGGGAATGTGTAGGCTTTTCAAAGGGAGACCTGAAATAAATGGGAGGCTTTTCGGTGTAAGGAGCTGTTTGTGCTGTTTTTTGGATTCAGTCGCCGTTTCCCTTTGAACGTGCTTTACTGCAGCAAACTGTGTTTCCTGGAGCCTGTTAACTTAAGCTGCCTGGGCTGGGGCTGGACTGAGCTGGGGAGCTAATAATAATAATAATAATGATAATAATAATACTCCTTGCATTTGATATAGTGCTTTATCTCACATACTCACATATTTCTTCTCACTTAGAGAGGGAAAAAACAAGACTTTTCTTTGGAGCAATGGTTAAGGACTGGTGAATATGTAATAATAATTTAATACTATTCTTAATAGTGAGTATTATTAATAGTGACTGTTAATAAGACTATTGAAAAATGGGTTGCACAAAATACCTGGTGAACAAATGATCAGCCTACTATTATAAAAGTAGCTATGTGGAAGTAATGGAGGGTAGGGGAAAGATGTTATGATTAGGGAGTGATTAACATGACTCGTAAAGAAATCTAAGTGGTTTTGATAGGAAACTGAATGGGACGTGGGTGAACGTACGACTTAGGCGATTGAACGATTCATACAGATAGGACCTCTGCGAGTTTTGCTGTATTTATTATCACAGAGTTACCCTTGTGCGCGTCTCTCTCTGTATGCAGGTCGAGCCCCGAAACTGTGCTTCACAATGGGCAGCGAGACCGGGGGTCTGTGTTCAGTTGACTTCTGTACTCTCTCTCATTGATTCTCTCTTCTTTTCCAGTGGCGGCTGTTTCTGCCAGGGCTGAAGTTCGAGGTGATCGATTCTCTGCACATTTCTCTCTATGCAGGTAAAGACACAGCGACGCCGGGGTTCAAATTGACGTTCATTCTCCTGGACTGACGTAACTGGTGGGAGAGCATATCACCCCTCTCTTCCCCTTGACTGAGGCCAAGCTGACGTTCTGTGTGTGAACATCCTGTGTGTCTGCCTGTTCAGGTGGATGCTAAAGACCTCATGCCACTGTTGGGAGAGAAAAGGGAGTTTCTCTCCTCTCTCCTTGTGTCCTGGCCAACAATCTCCCAAATAAAATTGGTCGCTCACTCCATGACTGTTTGTGGGACGCTGCTGGGTGCAACTGGCTGCTGCGTTTCGCCCACAAAATACACAGTCACTCCACTTTACAGTATATCCCGTGAATAGCTTTGAAATGTCTCGACAGTGTGATAATGCACAATATTAAATGCAAGGATTATTATTATTAATTGTTATGACTGATCTCAGGCACCCATCAATTACTTTGTGCATTAACTCACTGGCACCTTCTAGTGGATCATTAGAGGTTCTAATTCTAATAATAATCCATACCTTTTGGTCCAGAGAGTCTCACATCTGGAAGATGGATGTCTCTTAAGAGCTTACTAAAGGTTACTAAAGTAAAGTGGAGTGACTGTGTGTTTTGTGGTCGAGCGAGGCAGCCAATTTGCGCACAGCAACGTCCCACAAACACGTTAATCCCTTCAAGCATTTTATTATTATTTTTTAATGTTCACTTGCTGCAAATTAGACGCTTTCTCTCTCGGGAAGCGGCTTGATCTTTGCTGCGATTGGAAAGCCGCAGAAACAGATTGAGGGCCAGCTTTTCCAATGGTTGGAGATTTAAAACCCATGAGCAGTTTTTTTTCTCTACTGAGTCTCTCGTTAATTCTTGATGCCTGGGTGCTTTAGCTAATTGCTATTGTGCAGTTTTACCATCCAGAAATATGCAGAAGATAAATGGCTCGAAAGATTTTGAGAGAGCAAGAATGTCTCGCAATGAGACCTCTCGATGAAATGATAAGCGATATCAAATGCAAGAATGATTATTACTATATATAATGTTCAGGTGGATTTAGGTTGAATGTCTGTCAGGCACTTTGAGAGGGGAGAAAAACAAAAAATATACAGTCAATCACTTAACAGTATATTCTGTGAAGCGCTTTCAGACATTTCAACGACGTGATAAGGCTCTATATCAAATGCAAGAATTGTTATTATTTAAATACAAGACTGTCTATAACCGTGTGTGTATGTTGGAATTATAATGGCATGCATTTATATAACGCCCTCCACGCAGGACAGCATCTCGGAGCTCTTATTAAACCGGAGCTCATTCTTTCTTTACACTGAATTATTCCCTTCTTCTCTTTCATTTAATTACTGTCGTATTTTCCTGGTTGTTTTGTATTCTTGGGGTCAGAGCGTTTGTTAAGCTTTGCTGACTCCGAGAGGAGTCTGCTTGGCGTAGATTTATGGGGGAACTGAAGCAAGTGGAGCGGAGGCGGGGGAGGTTGTAGGATGCATGTAAGGGCTTAGTTTTTGCACTTAGCAAACCACAGCTCACCCAAGGTTGACTTTGAAGGAAGATAAGATTGTCTCCAGTTTTCCACAGATCAAGGTACGCAAAGAGAAGCAGTTAGTGTGACAATTGGACAACTGTCGGTCATGGTTGGCGTAGATCAGCCTGAGACAATGGGACAAGCAACATCTGCGAGCCGTTCCTTGTTTATTTCTTTATCCCGTTCAGCAATACACAAACATAACATGTAGGAGCAGGAGTAGACCATTCGGCCCTTCGAGCCTGCCCCACCATTCAATCATGGCTGATCTTCTATTCTAACTCCAGCTAATAACCTGACGCTTATCCCCATATCCCTTAATCCCTTTTGCAAGTCCATCAAGCATCGTCCACAGTGTTTTAGTTTTGGTCAATGTCATTATCGTGAAAGATTCTGGATCTTACAGAGTGGGGGGAGGGTGTGGGGGAGAAGAGGAAGAAGAGTGCAGGCTGAAAAAATGGGTGGTTTTAGAGCCGATTCTGTGTGAAACGCAAAAACACACGCATCAGGAGTGATGGCCGTGTGTTTTGTGGGTGAGCGCGGTAGGCTCAGTAACACACAGCCGAAACACACACAAACGCACACACACATGCGCTCGCTCGCTCGCTCACTCACTCACTCACTCATTCACTCACACGTCCCCGGGGAACAAGCAGCGGCAAAGGGAATGGACGATTTCATGCTGAACAGATTGTTACGCCGTTGCAAGCATATTCCTCTGATCTAGAACGTCTTGTGGTGTTGCAGGCCGTTCCTCCACTGATCTGGAACAAAAAACGCTGTGCTCGCTGTGCTTATTCTCCCCATTGCCTGGAGCAGAATGTTGTTATTCTTCCACCCCTGCGGTGCAGAATATGAGACTGTGGGACTCTCATTGGCGCTCTTTAACTGTCGGCTCAAGAGCAGAGGAGGATAGCGTATTATTTTAACAGTGGTGACGTGATGGGGTTGAGGGAATGGGGGTGCTATTTACCTGGTATGTAGTTTGGGCTGAGTTGATGGTCTGGGTTTCCTTACTTGCCCCCAACCCCCCACACACACATACCTCCCACACACACGCGCATCCACACACAGAGTCCCTGTCTCTGTGGCTGAGCTGTTCATTTGCAGCCTATGTGCCAGGGATATCAATGCTTGGCCTGTGAATAGAGAGAATTAACAATGATGCCTTGAGACAGTTTCAACTGAAACCCAAGGGGACTGATTTACATAGATAGCTCCGATTAGCAAACAGCAGCCACAGACGGCCAAGCCTCATTGTTAAGAGTTGTTATGTCTTTGTACAGCAAAGGAGGTATAGAGGGCAGGGAATGCAGGGGTGAATAATAATAATATAATGATAATCCTCGCAATTTGATATAGTGCCCTATCACATCATATTGTAATAATAATAAGCCTGGTTGAAACTCTGGTTTCTGCCCAGTGTAGTGACTGTGTATTTCACAGGCAGCCAAAACTACGTGGATCAGTAACAACAAGAAGGAATGAGCATATTTATCTGGAGGATTGTCAGCCGGGTCACAGGGTGTAAACGCCCTTGTTTCTGTTTCAAATAGCGTCGTGGGACCTTTAGCAAACCTCTGTTGGCAGACGGGACCTTGGGTTAATGTCTCACCGCAGCTCAAAAGTCCTGACTTTGGGGGTGGGTGGGGCAGGGGGTGGGGGGCATGAACTTGCAGCCTTCTGACCAGGCAAGAGAGCGCTGTAGTCTTAGCCAGGCTGCCCCCACCTTCCTCCCTCCTTTTCTCCCCCCCTCCCTCCTTTTCTCCCTCCTTTTCTCCCTCCCTCCCTTCCTTTCCGTCGAGCTGTAACCCTCGTAATCTGCTGACACTATCTGCTGACCATTTGTCCAGTTAGCCCGAAATTATGAGCCCTGACAGTCTGTCAGATTCCTCTCTCCAGATAACGTGGAATAGAATTAATGCGATCGATCCACTCCTCACAGGTAAGATCATTACTGGTTACTGAGCCCGGAGTTCCTGGGGTGTAGCTGAGTGGATGAGTTGCCTTTAATAAGCAGCTCGTCTCCCTGTCTGTTGTTAGTTACAACAGGGATAGTGAGCAGCCATTGGGAGATGATTCGGGCAGCTATCGATCAGAAATAGTAGTCAGTCTGCTCCTAATAACGCAGGAGAGTGGCAACGGTTCAACAGACTGCACTCTGTGCTCAATAACGGGAGTGCGTCTGTTTATCGATCTGTGGATCAACAGCCCCACGTGCCCCAGGGACACTGCAGATTACCTGTCGGCCATATCAAAGGTGCCTTTCACTGACTCCCCCCCCCCCCCTACCCCCCCATCCCACTCCCCCCCACCCGCATTACATTCCACTCAGCGAGTCCATTCTGCCAGTGTTAACAAGGTCGTGCTTTCAGGGCTGGTCTCCCAGCAAAGATGCAGAGCTGCACGAGGGAGCCCAGTCTCTCAGCTGCACGAGGGAGCCCAGCCTCTCAGCTGCACGAGGGAGCCCAGCCTCTCAGCTGCACGAGGGAGCCCAGCCTCTCAGCTGCACGAGGGAGCCCAGCCTCTCAGCTGCACGAGGGAGCCCAGCCTCTCAGCTGCGCGAGGGAGCCCAGCCTCTCAGCTGCGCGAGGGAGCCCAGCCTCTCAACTGCACGAGGGAGCCCAGCCTCTCAACTGCGCGAGGGAGCCAGTCACTTTTCCATAGGAAAGCTGCACAATGGCCCCCTCTCATTATCATCAGTCCTGCTTGCTCGTTGCTTGGGGGCAGCATTCCTTTGGCTAATAATAATACTTGCATTTGCTGTTGCGTCTTATCACGTCGGAAGGAAGTCTTGAAGTGCTTCACATGATTTACTGCGAGATGGAGTGACTGCGCATTTGTAGGCAATCACAGCAGCACAATTGCGCACATCAGTGTCCCACAAACAGCCGAAACGAGCGACCAATTTTATTTGGGGGATTGTTGGCCAAGGACATCGGGAGAGAGAGAGAGAGAGAGAGAGAGACTTCTTTCTCTTCACGAATTGCACCATGGGATCTTTCATATACACCCAAAAGGACAGACAGGACCTCGGTTTAACGTCTCATCCGAAGGACGGCACCTCCAACTTAGACCATGTGACTTGGGATTTGAACCCACAACCTTATAATAATCCTTGCATTTGATATAGCGCCTTATCACGTCCTCAAGACGTCTCAAAGCGCTTCACAGGACATACTGACTGTATATTTTGGGGGTTAAACGTGAAAGCCAATTGCCCACAGCAGCGTCCCCACAAACAGTCATGGATCGAGCGACCGCATTTTTTTGGGCTCAGAATCGAGAGTGATCCCACTGAGCAAAGCTGACACATCTATGTACTTCCAATCTCTGTTAACAAGGTCCTTAATGGTATTCCATTAAGAAATGCCACAAATTAGACCCCGGTGTACTCTATCATGGGGACGCAACACACTTAAGTGTGGTTAATAGCTCAGGTTTTCTGTTGAGCTGCCTCCTCTGCTTGTTGCTGCCACCCAATGGCGGCTGGTGTTATCGTGTGGACTATTTGTGGAGGGAGGTCAAGGTATCCAAGCCTGGATCGATGGTTGATGTTTTCTCTTCTCAATCCTTAGATGAATCGTCTCTCAAGATGAACCGGGTGGATCACATCCCGCAGACGCTGGCCAGCCACTCGGGAGGTCGCCTGATGCTACAGAGGGAGCTGCACGCAGCAGACATGCTCAAACCAGACCCCAGGGACACTTTCTTCCTCAGTGAGTTTTTCCTCGGCGCAGTGAGAATGAAAGAACTCGCCATTTTTTTCTTTTCACACGGTCGTATCATCTTGAAACTTCTGCAGGTGTCAGCGTGGCTCAGCTCACACAGGAACATGAGTAGGCCATTCAGTCCCTCGAGCCTGTTCCGTCATTCTGTTCGATCGTGACTGATCTACGTCAACTTCATTCACCCACCTTTGCTCCATGTCCCTTGATCCCTGACCTAACAAACATCTATCCACCTCAGTCTCAAAAAAATTGAATGGATCCAACATCCACAGCCGTTTGTGGGGAGAGAGAGTTCCAGATTCCCACTACACTTTGTGTGAAAGAAGGTGCTCTTGTTTCTGAGTCAAAGGGATATGGGTTCCGCACATCGGGGACTTGAGCTCACACAGTCCACTAATGCAGGGCCGGAGGAGTGTCAGAGGTCATTGTCAGAGGTGCCATCCTTCGCATGAGATGTTAAACCGAGGTCCCGTCTGTGCCTGTTCATGTGAGTGTTAACAATTCTGTGGCGCTCCTCAATAAGAGAAGGGAGTTTCTCTCTCCTGCCCAATAATACCCCCCCCCCCGGATAAAATTGATCGCTCACTTCATGGCTGTTTGTGCAACGTTGGGTGTGCGCATATCATCTGCGGCATTTCGCCCACAAAATGCACGGTCGCGACACTTTACAGTAAATCGTGTAAAGCGCTTTGAGACGCGTGGGAGAAAGTGTGCGTTAAATGTAAGAATGAGCGAAAGAACGTGCGGGTTGGACAGAAAGTGTGTCCACGAGAGAAGGAAACTAGGTGAGAGAGAAAGTATGTGTGAAGGGAAGAGAGAAAGTGAGTGAGAATATCTGTTCTGGTTCGCTGTAGCTTTCATTCTCACTGAAAGGTTTGACATTCCTCCCAGGGTAGGGACAGGGGATTGCGGAGGGGAAGGGTGGAAAATCTCACCATCTGATGAATTATGTCATCGGTTTATGTCACCTGGCGCTCTGACCCCTTCTAAAATCCAGCAGCATAGCATAAACCTGTCAGCTGTCAAAATCCTGGCAAGTTACCTGGGATACCTAATGAGATCTGACAGACCCAGACAAACTGCTGGAGATTATGGTAATTAAACTGCTGGCAAGGCAACATTTGTTTTATGTTGTGCATAATATTCCTCTCCACACAAATCATGAATGGACCCTAATAGGATTACATGACCCGCCGAGTCGTGGGTGGGTGTAGGCATGTTGAATTGAACTAGGTTTTCAATTGCGCTCACATACGTCAGCGCAGAACAGAAAGTCTTCTGCTATCCACCCTTTTTGGGGGGGGGGTGGCCAGCCGGGTGTCTGACGCATTCTGAAACCCGTCACCGTGCTTAAGAGTTGCCAAACCAAACTGAGAATTCCATGCATCCCACCATGGTAATTCCAGAGATAGATTGTTGGATTGGAATTCGCTTTCTCTCTCTCTCTCTCTCCCTGGAGTGACACATCCTGTTTACTTAATTCTGGAACGTATTAGGCATAGGTTGGCAGGAACCGAAGCTTGGAGACTCCAGCGGGCGTTGGGGTAACTGCTGGAGTCTAACCGCATAGCTTGCCATTGAGAGCTGTGCCTGGCAAGCTTTCCCGCTGCTTGTCCAGCACCCTACCCGTTAGGACTTTGGCTGCAGAGTTAACAGAAGCTGAGTGGGATGACTCCCCTGCCTCCAGTGACTGGTCTGACCTTCCAAGTCCTGCCGATGAGCCAGGCTGGTCTGTGCTGTCATCAGCCGTGAGTGCCCTGGAATACTCTGGACCCGCCTGGCTCAGGAACTGGACTAGAGACCACCACAGAAGTGCTGTGTAATGAGACCAATGCTCCTCTCCACGGACACATGTGATGATCTCATAAGGATCAGGTGTGTTAGGTCACAGCCTGACTCACTCTGTAATGTGCCGTGCGCCAAAGCGCTTGGAATTTCATTTCGCTTTCTTTCTTCGCTCCTCTCCACCCCCCCCCACCTCACACTCCCCTTCCCCCTCCCTCCACAGCTCCTGCGATCGCCCCCTCCCGGATTGCTAACCTTCTCCCCCCGTGCTCGTACCTGCCAACCTACGTGGTGAAGGATTTTCCCATCGCCCGCTACCAGGGGCTGCAGTTTGTAAGTTTCCAATCTTCATTCTCACGCAAGGAACCATTTCCATTGTCCTCAATACCTGGTTGGGGTGAGGTGGGGAGTGGGGTGGGGAGTGGGGTGGGGAGAGGGTAGTGAGGGGGCAGTGAGGCGGAGGAGCACTGCATTCTCAAAGGTACCGTTGACAGTGACACAGTCTAAGCTGATGTGTTGCAATGTTGGAGATGCCATCCTTACGGGTGAGTCATTAAACCAAACCTCTGCCTGTTCAGGTGGATGTTGAAGATCTCACGGGGAGAATGTAATAATTAAATAGTTGTCTCCAATCGGTGCAGAGTGTTCATTGCTACTGAGGAGGTCATTTACATCCTGCATCGGAATTATCTCTCCCCACCCTCCCCGCACTTGCTCCCTGTCCCACACCCCCCCCTTGGGGCGGTGTGCTGTTAAAGGTTAATGAAACCAAATTGTTCCTCTTAATTAATGTCACCTTCGCAAAACTGCGACATTGCTAAGCGAGGAGTCAGAGAGTTCTTCAGTATGAAGACTAACAATTGCTACTGCTCTTCATCTGACTCTCGGCGCCCGCCCACCGAACGCACAGTCACTACGCTTCACAGTGTGACCTAAAGCAGACGTGAGGCGAAGGGATTGAGGGTCAGGGAGTTCCAGAGGGTCAGGGACACACAGTGGCTGAAAGCACATCAGCTCAAGTCGTAGGTCTTTTGAGACGTTTCAAAGACGTGATAAGGTGCCATATCAAATGCAAGGATTATTAAGTCTGTGCCTTCAGAAAAGGAAGGGAGACAAATATAGTCTGGGGTAGGGGCATATAAATGCAAGTTGTTGTTGTTCTATTGTTGAATGACCTCTTCTGGTTGGTGTCCGCCTGTAGGTCTATCTCTCCTTTGTTTATCCCAACGACTTCACCCGCCTCACTCACATGGAGACAGAGAACAAATGCTTTTACCGGGAGAGTCCCATGTATTTGGAAAGGTAAGAGGCCGGAATTCAGGGGTGAGTGGCGGGCGGTTGTTGTGGGGGGGTTGGGCGGGGAGTGGGGGAGACGGGGAACATAAAGGAAGGAAGGGGAAGGGAGGGGAGGAAGGAGAGAAAAATTGAGAAAGAAAGCGAGAGAGAGAAAGAGAGAGCATCAAAAGATTTTGAAATCGCAGCCATGTGTTTGGGGAGACTGTGAACAGGCAGCTTGGGACGTCTTCCTGACGGGAAAGATGCTATATATAAAAGCAGTATGTTGTTGTAGACATCTTGCGCAGTGAGGCAAGGATCGCGAGACACATCCCATTATGGGTGATGGGGTGGAGGAGGGGGTGGGGGGGCTGGGGGAGAGGAGAGGTGGGGGGGAAGGGGGAGAGGAGGGGTTTCAGAGGTTCTCGGTAAAGTTCGACCTCTCTACTCCCTAACAGGTTCGGATTCTACAAGTACATGAAGATGGACGAGGAGGAGAACCGGCCATTCTGGTTTGATAACCCAGAGGGTGAGATAATGTCTGACGTTCCTATCGTTCAGCTTCACCACTCTCTGATGACTCACAGTCAATGTTTTACCTGCTTCTCCCCACCCCCCCCATCACCGATTGCTGTACTCAGCGCTCTGAGACTCAACCGAACCCCCCCACTGACCGGCGCTATATAACTCTAAATGCATGTTGTTGTTTTGTTGTTGTTTCTGATTTAATGTTAGTGTCAGCATTCCAAGCCAAAGAGAAATAAAATATACCCGTCCTTCGGATGATGACACGTTAAATTGGTCACTCGTTTCATGGCTGTTTGTGGGACACCGCTGCCGTGATTGCCTACAAATGCGCAGTCACTCCATTTCACAGTAAATCCTGTGAAGCACTTCAGGACGTCCATCCGACGTGGTAAGGCGCAACATCAAATGCAAGGATTATTACTATTACCCAAAGGAATGCTGCCCCCAAGCAACGAGCAAACAGGACCGATGATTATGGGAGGGGGCCGTTGTGCAGCTCACTCCGCGGCTGTTTGTGGGACACCGCTGTGCCCAAACTGGCTGCTGCATTTCTCCCACAAAATACAGTCACTGCACTGTGAGGCACTTTGAGACGTCTGAATGTCCCTGTATCAAATGCAAGGATTATTATTACTACTATTATTATTAGGCGAGTTTTGGTTAAGACTGTCCCTCACTCCCCCTTGACCCCTCAACCCCCTCATCCACCCGTATCTCCATTTCATATTCCCTTGGACCTCCTTCAAGACCCTCCTCTTCGACCGCGCCTTCGGCCACCCTCTTACTCCACCGTCCCTGCCCTCCACCCCCTCCTGATCCCAACCCCCAGCTCGGGTGCAAATCATTGACTGTTCCCCTTGGGACGTCCTCCCGACGTGAAAGACCGTTGTACGAATGTAATTTGTTGTTGTTGTTGTTGTTGTTCCCCCACGCTGGGCAGATTTCCCCGAAGAGGCCGAAGGTATTGACATGGACCCAGTGACGGGCCGTGACCGCGGTCATTTGCCGAGGAGGAAGGCCATCAGTGCCGGTCAGCGTGCGAACAACAACCAGGCCCTGGGGCCTCCGGTCACTAGGAGGAAGGTCCCGCCACCACGGCCGGCCAAGGAGGACAGATATACCGAGGACCCCCCCGGTGGGAAGAGGAAGGTGACGGCGGAGGGGCTGCAGCGTAAGGCCTCCAGTCCGGTCGCTCCGGGCAGCTCCCCAACAGTGGGGGGGTTCGGTGAGGCCGAGGGCAGGCGTGGACGCTCGCTGGCTTGGGCCAAGCTCAGACCCGGGGAGCTGAGCAGGAGGCCAGGCCGGGCTGGGAGGAGCCTGCAGCCCCGGCTCTCTGTCCCGGTCGTGCCCGGCAAAGCCAAGAGCCTCCTGAGCAAAGCCGCTCATCGTCGGGCAGCCGGGCCTAAGAGGCCGGCGGGTGGAAAAGAGGTACGTGACCCCACCACCAGGCCTCCCGAGCGGATGAGGGCCAGGGTGAGAACCAGGGTGAGGGAGAGGTTGCTCTCCCCCGGCGTGCACCCGGACAAGCGGACTAGGCCGAGCACGAGGAGGATGGAGGAGAAGAAGAGACCGGGCCTAGGTCACAAGGCCCCCCCGCTCGGCAGTGAAACCTTGGAGGCTGAGGAGGGCAGGAGGAGGCGGCAGGACAAGCACCGGGGCCCCGGGGCAGGGAGAGAGGCCAAGCTGGAAGGCTCTGAACAGGAGGGTCGAGCAGCCTAGCAGGGACAGAGCCTCAGTGAGCCCACGAGGGAGCAAGCCCACGCGGGGCTCTGAGCGGTACAGCCTGGCCTACTGGAAAGCCGGAGAGCCCGGGAGGCCCGTCGAGCCCACAGGGGGGGAGGAGGAGGAGGAGGGGGTCCCAGACTACAGCTACGAGGACACCGAGCCCCGGCCCCCATGGGCTGAGGAGGCCGTGAATTGGCAGCGGACCTTCAGCGTGGGCTCCGTGGACTTCGAGTTGCTGCGCTCGGACTGGAACGACCTGCGCTGCAACGTGTCGGGGAACCTGCAGCTGGCGGAGAGCGAGGTGGTGGAGGTGCTGGCGCAGTACATGGAGAGGCTGAATGCCAGGAGCGGAGGGTGGGTAGCTTACAGCCGGGGCGGGCACCGAGAACACACACACACATATAGAGACACAAATCACCACTGATTTGTGCTGATATAGCATCCCTCACGCAGGGTAGGGTCCCGTAGACACAAACACGGGTATGCACACACACGTCATACAAACACACGTGTACATGCGCACACTCCCACCTGATTGTCCACATAGACACACCTCATATGTAATGCGTGCACACATACGCATACGTGTGCGCACACGCATTGCCTGCGCCAAACGTCGCACGTAACACCTTTCACGTCAGGAGGAACGTCACCAGGTGCTTCCCACAAACAATTTGCTGCACGTAAATCCGTCCCGGATTTCACCCACACAAAAACAACAAGTCACTGCACTTCACAGTATACTGCGAAGCGCTTTGAGACGTCCTTATGATGTGAACAGCGCTGTATCGGTTATTACCCGGGGGCGCGGGGAGGAGAGCGCAATGGCGTTGACCGAAGGCACTAGTCTTTTTTTTCCCCCTCTTGATAGGATGTACACACTCCTACGGATCATTAACATGGAGAAGCGCAGAGACTCTGCTCGGGGTAACAGGTACCTGATCGAGGTGGAGCTGATGGAGAGGGGGCAGCGGGTGGTGAGGGTCTCACAGTACATCTACCTGTTGCTGCACAGAACAAAGCAGGACGAGGGCATCGAGGCCAACCAGGGGACCCCGGAGTTTGAAGTGAAGGAGCCCAGTGCACCCAGCGTCCCGTACAGCAAACCCGTCCTCTGCCAGCCCATCGGGCTCCAATGGAGAGATGACGTCATGGTCCACTTTGTGGTTCCAGGTAAGGCCAAGCTCTGTTAATGGAGGAGAGAGAGAGAGAGAGAGAGGAACCATTTGATCTGTTTCAATCAGAGCTGAATTAAGGTCCATAACCATTGGGTACGTCCTCCCAACATGAAAGGCGCCATATAAATGTGATTTTGTACTGTATTGCATTGCACAAAGCAAAATCGCCTACAAACACACAATCACTACACTTTACAGTATATCTTGTGAAGCGTGGCGTCCCGTAGCGAAGTGGTTAGCGCGCTCGCCTCGCAAACGGGTGGAACCAGGCAGGGTTAAACCTTGGGCAAATTTCCTTCCTCCACACACCACTGTTTACACAGCAGTAAGTGGGAACCCGGTTGTTAGTCGATTGGTGGATCGCTTTCCGGAGGTAATAACCCTTCAAAGAAAAAAAAAAAATTTGTTCAGTCAATTCACGGCTGTTTGCTGGACACTGCTGTGCACAATTCTCTGCCACGTATAGTATATACAGTGCATCTTGTGAAGCACTTTAAGACGTCTCAACAACATGAAAAGGCGCTACATCAAATGCAAGGATTATTATTATTGTTGTTGGTGTGTGGTTAGGGACTGGTAAGGCTGGGAAAGCAAGCCCAAGCCCCAGAGCTCCTCACATACGCAAATGCAATGTAGCGTTGTGTCTCTGAGCCCCTGACAGATGGCTCGTGGGCGAGTCCAGGCGGTGTGTTAACACGTCGTTAAATATCTGTCGCTGAGTGGCCAGTGTTACTGTGTGAAGCGACAGAGAAAAGACAGGCAGACGGAGCTCTCACTGAAACCTGCTTGAACGCCTTTATAGTTGACATCTAGGGCTTTCTCTCACACACACCACCACCACCCCCCCCCCCCCACCCCCCCAACCCCAATCACGATTGCCACACACGTGTGGCGATGGCAGTACAACCGGCGCAGAGCGTGTTCCCAGCAGCTTCCGCCACACGCGACTGATCCTCGGAGTGACTTTACGGCTATTAGGTTTTATTTGTTTTCCCAGCTCTAATCTGTGGAGGAGGAGAGTTAAGCTGCTTTTCGTTTATAATTAGTTTAAAACAATCTATTTGCTCTCGGGCTTCCAGCGCACTCACACACACACACACACACACACGCACCCACACACACACACACGAGGGAGGGTGTCTCAGTTCAATCAAGACAATCCAACGGTGTGGTGGGGGGGGAAGGAAAAAACAACAATAACAATGCTTGCATTTGATATAGCGCCTTATCACATCTTCGAGACGTCTCAAAGCGCTTCACGGAATATACTGTAAAATGCAGAGACTTTACACTTTGTGGACGAAACACAAACAGTCACGGACTGAGCAACCAATTGAAATTCCATTTTTTTTTGGAGCGATTATTATTTCGATCATTATTATGATTAATGTGTTCCACTGCTTTGTATACTGCGAACAAGTAATAATATTAATAATAATAATCCTTGCATGTGATGTAATGCCTTATCATGTCAGAAGGACGTCCCAAAGCGCTTTCCAGGATTTATTGTGAAGTGGAGTGACTTTGCGGGTGAAACGCAGCAGCCAATTTGCACAGTGTCCCACAAACAACCATGGAGCGAGCGACCAAATTTATTTGGGGGATTGTTGGCCAGGACACTGGGAGAGAGAGAGAGATAAACTCCCTTCTCCTTTCGAGTAAGGCCACAGAAACTTTAACGTCCACCTGAACAGGCAGATGTGGTACTCGGTTTAGCGTCTCATCCGAAGCATGGCACCTCTGACAATGCAACACCCACCCCCAGCACTGCAATGGAGTGTCATCTTAGACTGTGTGATTCCAACTCCTGATGTGGGGCTTGAACCCACAACCTCCTGACTCAGAGGCAAGAGAGCTACCCACTACGCCAGGCTGACCCCTACATTTAAATCGGGGACTGGGGTGGGTGGGGGGGGGGGGGGCGGGGGCGATGGCGAGGTCACCACCGACGCTGTTGGAGAGGTAGATCTTAAAGAGGGATTCAGTGTGGTTCCCGCATGTGGTTATCTGTCAGTGTAATATCAGGCGAGAGAGAGTGAGTGTGACTCCCCTGTGTAACTGTAGTGAAGAACCAGGCACGGTGGGTGCAGCAGTTCATTACGGATATGGAGCACCTTTATAAAGCAACCAAGGACGAAAGCTTCAACATCATCATCATCGACTTCGAGAGCGGAGACATGGACGTGGAGCAGGCTTTGAAGGCGAGCAGTGTCCCTCGGTACGGTAAACACCGGTCAAACGTGGAGAGTTAAATGGGCAAGATTAACTATGGAGCAGAGCTACGCAGGGTCTGAAAGTTTCCCTGGCTCCACTCCATTGGTCTCTGTTAATCCGGGGAGTCATTGGGAGAAACGTTACAATCGGCCTCAGGATGGGGAAAAAATCGGCCACTGCTCCCGAGACCTGAAATTCCACCTCGTCTCAGCCTTAAGACCAACGTAACCAAATTTAAGCATTGCTTATGACCGTGATCTTGGGGCTGAGACTGGGTGGAACTTCGCGTGTGCTGTGTCGGGCCAGGTCAGGATTGATCGCACACATGATCACCTCAGGGAAGATATGTTGACCCTGGTATATTGGTCAGGGGGTGCAACGCAGGTTCACTAGAACGTCACCAAGCCTTAAAGGGTTAAGTTACGAGGAAAGGCTGCATTAACTTGGATTGTATTCCATTGAGTTTAGAAGGTTGAGGTGTGATTTGATTGAGGTGTTTAAGATAATAAAGGGATTTGATCGGGTAGATACAGAGAAGCTATTTGCTCTGGTGGGGGAAACCAAAACAAGGGGGAATAGTCTTAAAATTAGAACCAGGCAATTTAAGAGTGAAATTTTTTCACTCAAAAGGGGGTAGAAATCTGGAATTCTCTCCCCCAAAAAGCCGTGGATGCTGGATCCATCCACACCTGCAAGAGTGAGGTTGATAGATATTTTGGTAGGTCAGAGTATCAAGGGATATGGGGAAAAAGTGGGAATTGGAATTGACAGGATTAGTTGAGGTGCAGATCAGCCATGATCTAATCGAATGGCGGAACAGGCTGGAAGGGCTGAATGTCCCCATGTTTTTGTTACTCGAGCGGTTTGGATGACTTGCTGTATGTGGGCCACTTGCACCATGACAACTTGCCTTTCTGCGCTTTCTCTTCACAGTTACCAGTACCTGAAACGTTCGGGGAGCTTTGAGCGATCGGCCGGACTTCAGGCTGGAGCAGATCTGATAGAGGTGAGAGACAACCCCAGCACTGGGCTGACAAGACGTTACAATCGCTGAGATCTCACCCGCAATAAACCTTACTCCATCGACGTATCATTTTAGAGCGTCTAGAATTCAGCAATTTAAATTAAACCGAGGTCCCATCTGCCTGTTCAGGAGGACGTCAAAGATCCCACGGCCCTAATCGAAAAGAGGAGGGAGTTTCTCTCTCCCGGTGTCCTGGCCAACAATCCCCCCAAATAAAATTGGTCGCTCGTTCCATGGGACGCTACTATTTCATCCTCAAAATACACATTCAATTCGCTCTACAGTATATCCTGTGAAGAGCTTTGAGGTGTCTTAATGATGTGATGAGGCACTATAGTAAATTCAAGGATTATTATTATTATCAACAACAACAACAAGATTCCATTTATAAAGCGCCTTTCACGTCAGGAGGACGTCCCAAGGCGCTGCACAGTTGGGTCAGGATCCGAGCATTGGGGGGAAATGGTCAGGGTGAGGGGAGGGAAGGGAGGGAGCGAGGAGGAGGAAGAGAGTCGAGAGGGGAGCTGAAGGCTCGGTCAAAGAGAAAGGTCTTGAGACCGGCCTTGAAGGAGGAAAGGGAAGAAGCGGCGAAGGCACTGGGGGATGGAGTTCCAGAGCCTCGGGGCTGAGAGGCTGAAGGCCCGACCACCGATGGTAGAGCGGTTGGGGCGGGGGACGTGGAGCAGACTGGAGCCGGAGGAACGGAGGGTACGGGCAGGTAGGTAGGGGGGTAGTAGGTCGGAGAGGTAGGAGGGAGCAAGGCCGTGGATGGCCTTGTAGGTGAGGGTGAAGATCTTGAAATCAATCCTCTGGGGGATGGGGAGCCAGTGGAGGTGAGCGAGGGTGGGAGTGATGTGGTCCCGGAGTCTGGTGCGGGACAGTACACGAGCTGCAGAGTTCTGAATGACCTGCAGTGTGGAGGGAGGTGGCGGGAAGGCCGCGAGGAGAGAGTTCCCATAGTCCAGCCTTGAGGTGACAAAGGCGTGGACCAGGGTTTTAGCAGCGTGAGGGGTGAGGTAGTAACTCCTTGTAACTGTAACTCCTTGTCCTTGGAGCGCTCTGAGACGACCTCCTGACGTAAAAGGCGCTGTATCAAATGCAGAGATTATTTTTATATTAACAATGTGTTTTGAGATGTAGCGGCTGCGTTTAAAACCTGCAGCGCAAACCGCAGCCAGTGCTGACACGGCATTGTTTTCAGGTCTCTCCCAACAAACACAAACCCCACTATTTCTCTGTTTGGCCTCGGAAATGACAAACTACCAATAACTGGGAATATGATTATTTTTTTCAGAGTGCTTCTTCTTGCAAGAGGCAATCAATCAATTTCCACACCATTCAGACCTTAACAGCTAAGTGGTGCCTCTATCACTGTGCGTATCTCTGCCCGTCTGGCACCCTCCCCAACACCCCCTCCTCTGACTTTGGTAGTCATCAGTCACTACGACATGCTGTCAGGGTTTCTTACATAAATTTCCTTTCCATTAACGCCTTCTCTGACACGTCCGCGTTTCCCTTAATGTTAATGCTTCAAATATTTGAGGAAAAATAACATGAAAGGGAATGGGGAATGGGATTGCAGGAGAGTGGGGAGCGAGCTCCAGCACAGACCGATGGGGAGAGAGCAGGGAATGGGGTTAGAGGGGAGAGAGCTCCAGGGGGGTTAGCTAAACATATAATAATAATTGCATTTGATATAGCGCTTTATCACATCTTTGAGACAGCTTTATGGGCGAAATGTGGCAGCCAACTGAGTGACCAAATTATAATTATTTTTTAAAAAAAAAGTATTATTTCTTTCTTTTGTGATGGGATTATTACCCCCGAGAAAACAATCCACCGATCAACTAACAACCGGGTTCCTACTTACTGCAAAGTAAACAGAGGTGTGTGGAGTAAGGAAACTTGCCTAATATTTCACCCGCACGGGAATTGAACCCAGGTCCTCTTGCTTGTGAAGCGAGTGCTCTAACCACCGAGCTACAGGACTCCTCCTTTGCTGTAAGCTTCCCGTGATTCAGGCTGAATACTTCCCTGAACCGTTGTGTCTTTCGCGACAGGGAAATCTCACTCGTTGCTCGCATCGCCGACACGTTGTGAATCGTGTAGAGCTGGACGGAATTTCTACCTACAGCAACGTGGGGAGGGGAGAGAGGGAGGCTTGGGAGGGAGCGAGGGTGGGAGGGAGGGAGGGAGAGAGAGCGAGGGAAGGAACGTTGGCATGCTGTGAATTCACGCAGCACCGGGTGTCTTTTCAGGACAGTCACACCATCCTCTTCCTGTGTGACCTGCACATCCACTTCCCCATCAGCATCCTGGACAACATCAGGAAGCATTGTCTCGAGGGCAGGTTGGCGTACGCTCCCATTGTCATGCGGCTGGGCTGCGGCAGCTCTCCCAGCGAGCCTGACGGTCAGTGATCTCCCAGCAAACATGGCCAGCTCCAACCCCCCCCCCCCACCGGCCCCCCACCGACTCTCCCCTCCACCCACCTCCCCGATAAAATGCACAAACTCCCCCAACACACCCAACACCCTCTCCCCCACAAACACACCCAACCCCTCACACACAAACACACCCAACACCCCCCTCACACACAAACGCACCCAACACCCTCTCCCCCACAAACACACCCAACCCCTCACATACAAACACACCCAACCCTCCCCTCACACACAAACGCACCCAACACCCTCTCCCCCACAAACACACCCAACCCCCCCTCACATACAAACACACCCAACTCCGTCTCCCCCACAAACACACCCAAACCCCCCCCATACACAAACACACAGCAACCACCCCACACACAAACATACCCAACACCCCTCCCACACACACACAAACACATAGCAACACCCCCGCCGCGCACACAAACACACCCAACCCCCCCTCACATACAAACGCACCCAACACCCTCTCCCCCACAAACACACCCAAACCCCCCCCGATACATAAACACACAGCAACCACCCCACACACAAACATGCCCCGCACACAAACATACCCAACCCCCACACACACAAACATACCCAACACCCCTCCCACACACACACAAACACATAGCAAAACACACAGCAACACCCCCCGCCCGCGCACACAAACACACAGCAACACCCCTCACACAAACACATAGCAAAACACACAGCAACACCCCCGCGCCGCACACAAACACACAGCAACACCCCCCGCCCGCGCACACAAACACACAGTATTCCCCCACACACAAGCACACAGCAACACCCCCCCCCCCACATACACACACAAACGTACCCAATCCCCACCTACACACACAAACATAGCCCCCCGTTGCCCTGCCTGATGTCCGTCTCTCCTTCGGCCAGGATACTGGGAGGTAAACGGTTTCGGACTCTTCGGAATCTTCAAAAGTGATTTCGATAAGGTGGGAGGGATGAACACTGAGGAATTCCGGGATCGATGGGGCGGAGAAGACTGGGAGCTGCTGGACAGGTAATAGGGAAGGGGAGAGGGAGTCCGGGAGAGGGAAGGGGAATCACAGTAAAATACTTCCAACTGATTTCCTCCAGCGCTGGATTTTTTTCTCTCCCTTTGGAATGAAATGCTTCGGGTCACGGTTATCCGGGGATTTAATTCTGATCGTCATAGAAATCTGGGTATTAGCAGGAATGAAAATTCCTGAGGTTAAGAGGTAGGAGGGCGAACGAAGGCACGGTCGAAGAAGAGAGTCTTGAGCCGTGTCTTGAAGGAGGCAAGGGGGGAGGGGGGGGGGTCCAGGCGGAGGGAGTGTGGGATGGAGTGGGGGAAACGGCGAAGCCAGCGCGTTGAAGCTTAATTGCGACGGACGTCTCTGCTGCGCTTGGTTTCCAGGGTGCTGCAGAGCGGGCTGGAGGTCGAGCGTTTGCGGCTACGGAATTTCTACCATTACTACCACTCCAAGCGGGGGATGTGGGACTCCCAGACAACGGACACCACCAAGGGGGCCAGCGAGCGCTGAGGGCAGGCAGGCGGATTGGCCCTCCCTCCCTCCTCCGTCCGACTTAACCGTCAAAACCAGCTGGAGTGCAAAAGGCCAGATGCCAGCCTCCCTCCAACCGACCGATGGCCTGAGACTTGTGTGTGTTTGGGTGGGGGGGGGTGAGGGAAGTTTGGAGTCACGTCATGACTAATGGACGGCCCAGTTGAGCCATTGATTGCGGTCGTCGCCATATTGGTCTGTTGAGCCCTTAGCCCAGCAGCACCTTGGCTTCCCTCCCTCCCTCTCCCCCTCCCTCCCGCTGCCATCCCAGGCTCTTAAGACCTGCGGGTTTCTGCCTGATCAGGGATCAGCTGCTACCTCTCTCCACTCACACTCGTGAGGGAGGTGGGATTGGTGGGGGATGAGTGAGGCAGCTTTGAGGTTGAGGGAAGGAGTGGGGGGTTATATCCAAAAGTGTGGTGATGAAATTATTCTTCTCCCCGCTCCCCCCACCCCCCCCTCCCACCATGCACACACTACCCTCTCCCCCCAAACCATGACTCAATCTGCCCTTTCACCAGGCGAGAGCCCTGGCCTGCAGTTGGCTGGTCAAAATAACAGATTGTATCGTCTGCTTGAGGGATAAGGGGGGAATTTGTGTTCCGTGCTTTTGCAGAGTGACCCCCTCCTCCCAAACTCCCCCCGATCAGGTCTCCCCATTCACACGTTACGATGTGACGTCCTGGTCAGTAACAAAGAACCTCTTCCACCTCTGAACTCACACCAAAGCCTTGACCTGAGGAACGATAAGGCAACAAACTGCAGGAACTTTACAAAGTGAGGGGGGGAGGGAAGGGAGGGGAGAAACAACCAACATTCCCAGGACCTTGTCCCCCAGCAAACACCACACGTGCACCACTGTTGGAAGCCAGAGCTCACTGAGAAGTAACACAACAACAACAAATTACATTTGTAGAACGCCTTTCACATCGGAAGGACGTCCCAAGGTGCTGGAAGCACTGATCAGGTTGATTGATCGACTGGGGACAAGTAGTGAAAGGAATACGATTTTGAGTGAGGATTAATGCCGAGGATTTTTTTTTATTCGAGAGCGTGAATCATCTTCGCAAAGAAGACTCGAGCACCCAGCGGAAAGCACGCCAGTGTGGGAAGCACAGTCCCCTTGTATTTTTGTCTCACTTTGAAGCCATTTTGTTTCCCCTGTTGCTCCCAACCCCACCCCACCCCCCCCACCCCCATACCCCACTTGTAGAGGGAAGAAAACAAGAGTTATAATTCCAACTATTCAAGCCAATCGCACTAATAGGACAAGTCAGTAAAGTGGCTTCAGCTGCAATGTGCTGAGAACTTGGTCCAGGACAATCTTATAGCTTAAACACTCGTGAGTTTAAGAAAATTCGCTCGCGATGACATTCAACCCACTGTAAGGTGGGGAGTTTGCGATTAAGGTATTGTGCGTGCTGGGGGAAGAGGGGCGAAGTTAGACAGAAAGCAATCAGGATACCTTAAAGCGTTTACAGATTTCTGGCTGACAACTACAAGTGACGAACTCTTTTTAAAGACCTATTTATTCAGGTGAGACCGTCGGCTATGGAATGGCTGGAACGTAACGTTTAGACTCGGCTGTCCTCCCGCCACGGGAGAGAGGAATAAAGGAGGTCTTGGCGACATATCAACATCACCATCTTTAATATCTCGGCTCCTCCCACCACCTCCCCTTACCCCAACTTCCCATCTCACAGAGCATTTTTATGCCTTAAAACAGCCTTCGGTCCATCGCCACTTCACCCTCCTTCTCATCTTACACCACTCTGCGTTCGTTCCGTGTCGATGGAGACGTTCCCTTGCATGAAAAGGTGCTGATGTCAGTGCGACTCGTGAAGAGCTTTGATACATTCCCTTCCGCTAAAGTGCAAGTTGTTGAACAATGGTGATAAGACTGGACTTAAGAAACGCTGTTGAAGGTGTGAGCGCTGTGGGTTAATAGGGAATGATGTGTCACCACTGATTCTCGTCTTTGGGTCAGTTCAAGCCCCACATTGGGACTTAAGCTCTCAGTCTGGACTGGCAGTCTAGTTCAGTATGGTGGGGTGGGAGGGTGGGAGAAGCGCTGAATTTTCCGAGGAGCCGTCTTTTGGATGTGATGTTCGACCAATATCTCTGCCTTTTCAACTGGGCCTTAAAGATACTATGACCTTGTTGGAAAGGAGAGGGAGTTTCTCCTGGGGTCGTGGCTAAAAAAATTACCCCACATAAGACTGGTCGCTCGCTTTGTGTATGTTGTGTATTCAAACTGGAAGCCACCTTTGCCCGCGCAAACACACAGCCACTGCACTTGAGAGCAATTACCTACAAAGAGCTTTGAGACCTTTCGCCGCGGTGGTCAACTTCTGTCGTTATGTAACAAGCTGGCCCTGCACTGCCCCGGACTGGCCAGCAGACAGAGCTAGCGACACGTCAAAAATTGGACAAGTTGATGTTCGGGTTAGGAACAGGAGGAGCCTGTTCAGCCCTTCGAGCCTGTTCCGCCATTTCATTAGATCATGGCTGATCTGTACCTCAACTAATCCTTTAATTCCAATTTCCCGCTTTCTCCCCATATCCCTTAATACCTACCAAAAATTACCGGACGTGTTCGTCAACTGAAGCTGACAAAAAGCAACTTTAACCAAGAATGTGAATCAAAATGGCCGTTGGGCACTGTGGCCACACTGGCATTCACAGCTCAAGACCCAACCGTTGAGTCCAACCCCAGTTTGATGGAATGCAGAGTTCTGCAACCGTTGGGCAAGTTTCCTTACTCCATACGCTTCAGTTTACCTAGCAGTAAGTAGGAATCCGGTTGTTGGTCGATTAGTGGATCGCTTTCCACGAGTAATAATCCTCCCAAAATAAAGTTGGTCATTCATTCCACGACTCTATGTAGGACACAGCTGTGCGCGATTGGCTGCTGAGTGTCGCCCTCAAAATATACAGTCAATTCACTTTACAAAATACGCTGTGAAGTACTTTGTGAGCCATGCTTTTGCAGAGTGACCCTCTTCCCCATGCCCCACCCTCCCCCCACCCCCCCCGATCAGGTCTCCCCATTCACACGTTACGATGCGATGTCTTGGTCAGCGACGTGATAAGGCGCTGTGTCAAATGCAAGGATTATTCTTCTTATTAAGTAGTCTCCACGGCCGTGAATGTCCTTCCCAAGTGAGGAATCTGGGCAGACTCAGCAATCTGTGTCACAAGTAGCTTGAAAGTGACTTTGCCCAGCCCTGCCCTGCCCAAAACAGCTTATGTGCAGTGTGTGTGGGTGGGTGTGAGTGGGTGTGTGTGAATGAAAATTTTCTTGGCAATTCACTTCACCACGAGATGGCAGCGTTCCGTGGTTGTTGCTCCTGATTTGGGAGATGTTAACTGGTTACGTGGCTAATAATAATCCTCACCTTTCATACCAGCAAGACCCCAACAGTTGGGGTATCATCTGTAACTTTTCATCCGTTGGGGGGAGTCAAAGCTCTTCACTGGATATTACAGTGAAGTGCGGTGACTTTTTTTGCAGGCGAATGCGACAGCCGGTTGCACACAGCAATGCCACACAACCAGCCATAAAGTGAGTGACGAATTTCACCTGAGGGATTGTGGACCTGGACCCCTGGAGAGAGCGAGAGAGAGAAACTCCCTTCTCTTTTCCAATAGCGCATCGGGATCTTTAATGTCCCACCTGAACAGGCGCAGATGGGACCTCGGTTTAACGTCTCTCACCCGAAGGACAGAATCTCTAATACCGAGTGTCCTGGAGTGTCAGCTGAGACTGTGAGCTCTGAGGTGAAGCAGGCTAGCTGCACCCTGGCTGTTTTGTGGGACGTCGCTGTACACAAATCGCCTGCCTGCGTTTTGCCTACAAAGTACAGAATCGCTGCACTTTACAGAGAGCACAGTGAAGCTCTTTGAGATGGTGTAAGGATTATTTTAGCATAACGTCAGTATATTAATATAGAAAATAATAATCCCGAGGTTTACTTCTCCCCACCCCCAACATTCCCCTTTCCAAGGGACGCCATTAATCTCTAGAGCATAAATTAATACTTTCCAGACTTGCCGACCTCAGCCGTAAAACCTATCAAAATAGCACTCATTCCTGAAATGCCTCAGAGCCCCAGACTGCACTCAGACCCAGGGACAGGTCTCTGGGGTAGAGCGAGAGACCCTGGTTACAAGCTATAACTGGCATTTGGGTGTAGCATGCAATGCCAGCCACACACATGCGTGAGCGACATACGTCTGCTCACCTGGGGACATTGGACGAGAAAGTTCTCCCTGAGGTGTCAGCCTGGCTCACTCTCACCTCTGAGGCAGAGGATTGTGCTTCCAGCCCCTCATCGGTACTTCCAATGATAAGCCTTGCATTTGATATAGCGCCTCATCGCGTTGTCGAGACGTCTCAAAGCGCTTCTCAGTACAGTGGAGTGACCGTGTATCTTGCGAGTGAAAAGCGGCAGCCAGTTTGCAGAAACAGTGAAGGTCCGGCCACCAATAGTGGAGCGGGCAGCACAGGGGACGTGGAGAAGCTAGTGCCTGCATAGTGGAGGGAGCGGGGCGTTTGGTGAAGTTCTCATCGTCACGGAGGGAGGAACAAGTCCGTGGAGGGCTTTAAAGGTGAGGACATGGATCTTCTACTCTTTCCAGGCGGAAGATGGGGGTGATTGAGTCACGGAGCTTAGTGAGGGAGAGAACGTGAGGCTACAGCTTGTGGAGGGAAGAGTTGGGAAATCCAGCGAGCAGGAAGTTAGCTCAGTCAAGTAATAAGCAGCCTGGGAAAGCGTGGATGAGGGGACATCAAGTAGTGGCCATTTTGGATTGCATCGCAAGCGCTGGGGGGTAGTGGGGTGCGAGGGCGAGGGTAAGTGGTTACAAAATACGGGAGCACTCACTGTGTTATCCTGGCAACCACACCAACCCATGTCCTTGTGCTGCCAAACCAGGGAGCATCATGGTGTGTAATGGGAAAGCAATCATATCTGAGGCAAGTGTGTACACGTGAGATGAGCCTCTGCCTGTTGTCACAGATTTCCTAGAATTTCCATTATTTTGGATT